TCGATGGAATCGGCCAAGAGGGGGGTTAATTGGTAATTAAAAATTTGGTGGAAACTTTTGCAGAAAATTGAAAGCAATTTGCACAACGATTTATACTGGTTCGACTTTCTCAAACAAAGTCTACATCCACTACCTTAGCTATCCACACTAAGGATTTTCCAACAAATTCACTAATTTGTTGTTTCTTTTGAGGACAAAGAGTAACCTTACAACTCCCTCAAGAATTATACCCCAATTCTTGAGCACACTCTTTTTTAAAGAGAAATACACAAATTTGCAAACTTACAAGGAAAACCTCACAAGGTAAGATGTTTGCACAATTCTAGAACAAGAAAAGAACACTAAAAAATAATTACAAATGAGCACAAATGGTGTTCTTGAAAGCAAAATGAATATTGAAAGGAAAATTGGCTTGAATTGCACAAACTTGGTGTTTGATGCTTTCTCTCTTGTTTCTCTATGATTTCTTTTTTATCAAAGGCTTCAGAACTGGCTTAAATACTCCTTCAATTGATTCTGAACGTTGGGGATGATTAGTGGAGTCAATGGAGTCGTTTAAGTGTGAAAACAATTAATAAAACAGCTTGGAGCGTGGGGGGTATCGGTACCCCTTCATAGGGTATCCGTACCTGTAGTGTAAAATTCAAATATTTTGACCGTTATATGCCTTAGGGTATCGGTACCATATGAGGGGTATCGATACCATTGCATGGGGGTATCGATACCTATGGGGGGTATCTGTACCATTCGAGCATTATGTTATTTCTCGGAACCAAAATGTTTACAGGGGTATCGGTACCCTATAGGGGGTATCAATACCATACTAAATAATTTTTATTTTTGGCTCGAATATGGCTCGAAATACTTTGTAAAAACTGTTTCAAAAATATTTTGAGATTGAAACTTAATTTTACACTTGAGTAAGGATTGAAATAGACTTTTGAAAACTTGGAGTAATAATTTTCGTTTTCGAATAATTTAATCGAATATATAATTCAATATAAAATCTTAAAATTAATTAACACTTCATTTGTTATATCGAAATATCAAAATGTTTTCAACAGGCATGCATAATTTCTTATGTAAACTACGCATTTAGTACTTAAACTATCGATTTTTGATCAATTTTAGTACCTAAACTTTTATTTTTTTTAAAATCATACTTAATATTTAGTTTGTGTTTTGTTTTAGTACCTCGCCGTTAATAACTTAACAGGTGATTTGCACGTGACACCTTTTTAATGGGCAAATTGCATCATTCATCACTCGACTATATTCTCACTTCTATTTTGGTCACTAAAGTTTAAATTTTTTAATTTAATTACTTAACTTTCAGATTACTCCTAATTTAATCACTCTAACTTTCAAATTTATTTTTTCTTTTTAATTATATATTAATAAAATCATAATAAAAATATCATGGCACAAAAATTATTAATAAAATAAATTATTTTTTAAAGAAAATAGACCTCATTAAAAACCTCTTCTACCAACGTAAGTTGGGTTCCTATAAGGGGAAAAGAGTACCCAAAAAATCCCCATTAATCAATCAATGAACAATCACGATTTACATCGGGAAAAACAAACAGTGGTACATGCGCCTTAAAGAAATAGGAAGCATTACGGTCAAGGGCTCGTTGAGCTAACTTAAGATCTACCACATTTACTTCATGACGAACAAAATAGGAGGAATTTGAAAGTTAAATAGTTAAATTGAAAATTTTAAAACTTTAGTACTAAAATAGGAGTGAGAACATATTTGAGTGATGAATGATTTAATTTGCCCATAAAAAATGCAGTGCCATTAAGTTTTTAACGAAGAGGTACTAAAATGAATCAAAAACTAAATGTTAGGTATGCTTTTGGAAAAAACTAAATGTTAGGTATGTTTTTGGGGATAAAATAAAATTTTAGGTATTAAATCGGACCAAAATTGATAATTTAGATATTAAATGTGTAATTTACCCTAAGTTCTTTGGGCCATACTATTCAAGCTAAACTAGTTCTATAGGACAACCACCAAGGGAATCCAATCCATTTTCTTTGTCGACACCAAATAAGATATCTAATAATGATCTACCAGGAAACTCTGGCCAACTAACTTGGAGTTAAACCATAGGTATTTAGCACGTCCTTTACAAATTTGTGTGTCGGTAGATGGAATATGGTCTCCAAGAATAAATGAGGAAGGTAAAACCATTATTTATCCTCACCGAAAATCTCATGACAGTCGCTTTTACAACACGACTCAGAGGGATATAGAAATTGAACTCAAAATTAAATTATCTCATAGTAAACTCTAAGCCAACAAAAGATTTCCCCCCCTCATCTGACCAATTTTGTATAAAAAAATGGCAGTGTAAATCGTAGACGAACGATTTGCCTCCATTCTCTTCTTCAAATTTTTGCTGCACTCATAATACTCTTCGACATTAAGACAGAAAATCTTAAAAAAGCAAACAAAAAATATTGCAAAAATAATGACAAGTAAAAAGAAGAAATCATAAGGAAAATATGGATTTTACCCTAACTCCCTTTTAAGTAGCCTGAAAAAACTAAGTTTCCTTGAAGATTAAACACATATCTCTTTGTTTCACCAATCACACATTAATATATGTGTACTTCTCAACCGTTCAAAATCAATCATCGTGACGATTCCTTAAAAAAGGAAGATTTAATGCAGGTCACACTTGTATACGACAATCTCAAATCAAGTCACTTTATAATGTTCTTCTTACTAAGGATAAGAAGTATTGTACCATCTTTGTATCTTTGTAGATCAAGACCTATGGAAAACTCTTTCGTAGTTGAGGTTCCAAAAGAATATTTCAAGACATAGGACCTCCAGAGCTTTGCACCTCTAAATCAAGAAGCCATAATCTTTTGAAATGACTTATGGTACGTCTTACGTTATCTGTTAGAACTAGAAATGAATTGACAACTGGCAACATTAACAAGATCTATCTATCTTTTCAGCCTACGAGTAGCTATTATGATCTTATATCTGACACCAATATTAAGAGAGTATTGGGATCACTATAAAATCTCTCAATCAAGATCAAGAGAAAAGAAGAAGAATCTATAATTTTCATCTTCACCCTCACTTTTATTATTCTCCTTCCTTATAAAGACAGAACATTTCATTAACCAATCATCGTTTATCTACCGGTTACGATTCTCCACCTACATCAAAAAAAGTAAACCACCAACTGTCGACATAATCATCTTGTTCCATGAACATAGTAAAATTTTACGAAGTCAATGAGCCATTAGTAGATTGATTAAAGTTGATATTTCAAGTCTTTAAACATTCATGTTCGACTTTTAATTGGTGAAATAATATATTGATTATCTTCAAATATTATTTTAATTTTAAATCTATTATCTTTAACCTTTTCTAATGCATAAACGGTGTGGTTAACATCAATTAACCACAGCCACAGCGATTTGATCCGCCGAGGTGACGCTTGGTGGAACACACAATGCTCGGCGGCTGCTTGATTTGCTTTCCCTTGGACAAGACAACCTGTACGTGTCCAAAAGAACTAATAATATGGATGATTAATTGATTTTCAACCATTCAAATACAAGAGGAATCACCTGCCTCAAATCCAGCAGTTTTATATCGAGCATGGGCCTCAGAAAACTATGAAGCACTGTCATTCAATAAAAAGATGCTTTATCCCTAAAATCAAATCAAAAGGACAAAACATGGTTAAGATATAGCTCAACTAATTGAACATGTCTGGACAAATGATGATTTAATTTATTTATTTTCGCTTGTTTTCTCTCAAATTTAGCATCAACAATGAGCAATTTTATTCTTTTGGGTTTTCAATGACTCGAGCTTTTAAATTCAGAAATCATTTAAAAAGGTTGCAAACTGTTTACGTATTAATTTTAGGATAAAGTACACGATGATCCTTTAACTATATGATATTATTTTATTAAGTCATTTGACCTTTAAAAGTTATAAAATTATCCTTCAACTATATATTGTTGCTTTGTTGAGTCCCTCGACTATTAAAAGTTACAAAATGATCATCTGACTATTTATTATGTTCCAAAATCATCTTTTTATGTTAAAAATGATGGTATTCTGAGCTGAACATTAAATTGCTAACTATGATGTGATAGAATTTGATCTTAGAATCTCAAATTACTATCATATCTCAGTCATCATGTTAACGTCTAGCGTAGACAACAACTAATTTTTAATGGAAAAAAACGAGTTTAAAACATAATGAATATTCGAGTGACCATTTTATAACTTTTATTAGTCGATGGATTTAACAAATCGACATTCTATAATCAAATGATCATTTTATAACTTTTAATAGTCGATGAACTTATTAGAACAATTCCTTATAGTCGGGGACCATTTGTGTACTTCACCATTAATATTAGTTAAAAAAATATCGATTTTGCAGTTTTATTATGTCATTATTTTAAAATTATTTCTGGCCGTTTTGTTCTGTTGTATTCATGTCTTAATTGTTTAGAATTCTCGTGTTGTCTTATTTGTACTGTATCATATCTGTATTAATGTATGTTCGCACTCCTTAAAAGATTTCCATTTTATAAAGAAGATCCATTTATCTACATGTCACATTTTAGGGGTGAATTTGTTAGGGTTTTGTAGAAATTGATAAGATTATAGCAGAGGAAAAGATTTTCGAAAAAGAATTCTCATTTCATACATGATAGATAATCCAAATGAATTGGGTATAGTATTATATATTCATATAGTACCACAACTGTCATTATCATACTAGATATATACAATGTTAACAGATAATTTACTGACCCTTGCAGGCTACTGGACCTAGGTTGACGGGTATTAAAGCCCACTTCTCCTTCAAGGCATTCACCATGGCTCCTCGGCTTGTCTCTAGTTGTTGGACCTTTTCCACTGTTGGCCTGTTTCGATCTGGATCCCTCTGTTGGAATAGGACCCATTACCTCTTCTCTTCGTTTCCAATTTGCCCGTGTTTCTCAATCCCCAAATTCTCTTAAATCCCTAATTGACTCTTACCGAGCCCTAATTCTGCTTCCATCGTGACAATACCCCCTCTATCAGAGGATCCTTGTTCCCAAGGATCGAAACTAGAGAATTGTGCCTTCAAGATGGAGTAATCCTCCCATGTAGCTTCCTCAACTCCCATATTTGTCCACTGCATGAAGAACTGTGTGATCTCATGATTTTGTCTCTTAATAATACGTTTTTGCAGAATGATGGCTGGATATACCTTCAGTTGTTCATCAGCAATAATTTCTGGAGGATCAAGAGAGGTATGACCTTGTTGCCCTAATTTTTTTTAAGTAAACTGATGTGGAAAATGGGGTTGTATTTTGGAGTGAGCAGATAATTCCAACTGATATGTGACTTTACCAATCTGCTTTTGAATTTTGTAAGGACCAAAATATCTAGCAGCAAGCTTTAGATTCTTTCGCAAAGCAAATGATGTCTATCTGTAAGGCTGAAGTTTAAGTTAAACTTCTTATCTTTCTTGAAATTCTCGGTATGTTCTGTGTTTATCTTCCATTTGCTTTATTCGGTAACTTGCTTTCTCTAGCTGATCCTTGAGTATGCTGTTTAGTTGACTTCTATGTTGTATGCTCGCCTAAACTAATCCTACCCTAGACTCCTCTGTCTAAGCCATAATAGGTGGCTTGTAACCTTATAGTGCCTCGAAAGCTGTCATTCCCAATGCTATGTGGTAATTAGTGTTATACCACCACTCAGCCTGTGGAAGCCAAGTCATCCAAGACTTTGGTTTTAAGAAACACATGCACCTTAAATATTGTTCGAGGCATTGGTTTAGTCTCTGAGACTGCTCGTCTATCATGGGGTGAGATGTTGTGCTAAAATAGGTAGTGGTGCTCATTTGTTTCATCATTTCTTGCCAAAAGAGACTAGTGAAGGATTTGTCTCTATCAGAAATGGCAATTTTAGGAGATCCATGAAGCTTATAAACCTGATCCAGGTAGAGTCTTGCAACCTTTAGGACTGTATAGGGGTGAGCCAGAGGTGTGAAGTGGTCATACTTGGTGAATTTGTCAATTACAACCAAGATACAATTTTACTTAGAGGAGGTTGAGAGACCTTTTATGAAATTCATAGTGATGCCTTCCCAAGCATTAGTCAGAATAGGAATCAGTTGTAGTAACCCAAGCTTTGCCACGTGTTCTGGTTTTGTTCTTTGACAGACTTCACACTGTTGGATATGAGTCTATATCATCTTCTTCATTCCAGGCTAGAAAAAATAAGCCTTGACGCTTTGATAGGTTGCTTGCATTCCAGAGTGCCCTCCTTGAGGTGAATCATGCAATGTTAGTATCGATTTTTTTCTAAGACCTCCCTTTTTTCTTAGATAGACTCTACCCTTGTAGTACAACACTCCTTTGAACAGTTTCCAGTACCTACCTTGATGCCCATGGAATCCTCAAAATAGCTTTGTCCAATCTCAGACATCCAAGTTGGGGTGACCATAATGATTCCATGAAAGAAACTTCTCCTTGTTCCTCTTGTTGACATGAAAGAGCATAAGTAGCCTGTAGCCTTGTTCATTTTACCCTTTCTGTACTATACGGCGTAGTCAAAACCTAACACTTTGATAAGGCCCTTTTCTGGGTGATGGTTGCTAATTTATGTTTTAACAAGTGTTTCAATGGCTCGTAGTTAGTCTTAATGAGAAAAGGACCACATCCGAGATAGTGTTGCCACTGTGATATTGCCATTAGAATGGCCAAGTATTCTCTCTCGTATATGGAAAGGTCAATATGTTTAGGATCTAGGGCTTTCTGAGATATGCTATAAACCTCGCCCCTTGTGAAAGAACTGCTCATATTCCCTTGGAACTAGTATTTGTCTCCAAAATTTTTTTCTAAAAATTTGGTAAAGCCAATACAGGAGCCGGGCACATTGCTCTTTTTAACTCCTCGAAAGCTACCTTCTATTCTGGTGATCAGTAAAATCCATCTTTCTTTAACGTTTTTGTCAAGAGCTTGCTTAATTCTCCATAGCCTCTAATAAATTTTCCATAATAGCATGTTAACCCCAAGAACCCTCTCAAAGCTTTCAAGTTCTTAGGCAAGGGCCAATGTTACATGGCTCTGATTTTTGAAGGGTCCGTAGCTACCCCTTAAGCCTAAATTAAATGCCCCAGATAATCTATTTGCTGCTGACCAAAGAAACACATGATTTTTTTTTCATATAATTTGTTTCTTTGTAAAATCCCCAATACAATCCTCAAATGCTTGGAATGCCCTTCAAAAGTGGAATTGTACATCCATATGTCATAAAAAAGCACAAGCACAAATTTTCTCAAGAATTCACCAAATAGGTCATTCATCAATTCTTGAAAGGTGGCAGGGGCATTAGTGAGCCCGAAGGGAATTACCTTAAATTCTTAGTTTCCTTGATGAGTTCTAAAAGCCATTTTAGAAATGTCCTCCTTCTTGATTCTGATCTTCTAATAGTTTGATCTCATATCAACTTTGGAAAAATAGGCAACTCCATTCAACTTATCCAATAATTCCTCCACTGTAGGAATAGGGAATTTGTTTTTAATTGTCAGGGAGTTAAGCTACTATAGTCTACACAAAACCTCCATGAACCATCCTTTTTTTGATTAGTAAACATGGAGAAGCAGAAGGTCTTTGGCTCACTTGAATAATTGAAGAACTTAGCATTTTTGCAATCCGTCTTTCCACTTCTTCCTTTTGATGATGTGCAAGCCTATCGGTCTTAGATTCACAGGTTGTGCCTCAGGTTTCAGAATAATTGCACGGTCATGTTTCTTGTAGGGAGGTATTCCTTTGACTTTTCAAAGACATCTTTAAATTCTTCCAAAAGGGGTAAAGTTCTTGAAGAATTGAGCAATTTATTTCTTCAGCATTGAACCAATATATTTACCCCATTAACTCACTGTCTTTCCCAGTCATTTTCTGCATTTTCTCTCCTGAAAGTACCTTGAATAGTGGAGTTCTCCGAGTTCCCTTAATCACTACATACTTTCCTTCCCTGGAAAAACTGATGGTCATATCATTGAAATCCATTAGTATTGGACTGAATTTTTTCATCCAATCTACTCCCAACACCATGTCACTTTTTACCAGAGATAGCACTCTAAAATTATGCTGGAATTCATACCCCTTCATCTTCCATTCCACCTTATTGCTCCTGGCAGTGCTGAACAACTTATCTCCGTTGACAACAGTGATAAATAGAGGTTGAGTATGCACCATTTCCATTCCCTCTCCCCATCTGAGAGTCACAAAGCTGTGTGTGTTCCCACTATCAATGATTATGCTTAATGGTTTGACTTTGATGAACCCTTGTATTGTTAGGGTATTGTGGCCCACACAACCTGTTAATGCATTAATAGAGATATCCAGAGCTTCCTTGTCAGTTTCTTCACGTATTTCTGGCTCTTCTTCTGAAATTCCCTTCACTCAATAATCCTCATTTTCTTCCATGCAATTCAGCTGCCTTATCTTTCACTATGCCCACAAGTTAATTTCTCCCCACATTTGAAGCAAAGATTATGTGCCCTTCTATATTCTAGTAAATTTTGTTTGGTATTACTGTTAGTAGGTCTCTGATTAGGCAGTAAGGCGGTTTTCATATTATTTATAACACTGTTCTGACTGCGATAAGAAAAATTTTTGGTAGGGGTTTTGAATTTTTTGCTTTCAAATTCATTGGTCAGTTCATATAACATTTCTTGCTTCTATGCTTATGATAGTGTCTTAGGCTCCAAGACCCTGACCTTGTGTTTCAGTTCATCCTGCAAGCCGCTGATGAAGCTAGATACCAAATAATATTCTGTCAAATACGTGTTTTACAGTAGCAAAAAGGGTCTCAGCTCTTCGTACTTCCCTTGGTACTCCTCTACACTATGTCAGTTTATTGAATTCATCAATAGTTTCCGTGTAAGTTCTATCACAGAATCGATGACATAAGTCAACTTTGAATTCCTACCAGGTTACTCCCAATTTTTTTCATTATGTAACCATCAAACCATGGCTACCACATCCAATTTTTTTTCTTTAGGAATGCCCAACAAATTGAAATATTTCTGGCATTTCCTAATCCACCCACTGAGGATATCAAACACTTGCAATTCCACTTTTGGTCGAGGTATGACTATCCATGTACCTCCATAAAAAGTTTTGGACACATTCCTATTATCAACATTATCTTTATTTTTGGGGGGATTTCACTGGAACTGCCTAGGTTATTTCACAACTGTAACTTTTGGGTTAAGGGTGTAGAATCCTAAAACATTAGCAGTTTGGATGCTAGAATGACAGGTTTGTTAGGTTGGTAAGAGTACCTCTCCTTATACCCTATTATAAGTCTTTTACCCTCGGACTTGGAAGTATTAGGCTTGTTTACCTGCTCAGTCTCCTTCTCAGTGTTGGGGTTAGCTTCCTCTTCCGATGATGCATCTCCTTCCTTGATCCTTAATATCTTTAATATGCTTGTCAAGAATCCTCATTGCTCTGCTAATCCGGCCTCCACATTGATCAGCCTATGTTCTTTATCTTTCCACCATTGAGGACCTTAGCATCATCTTTCAAGCCTTCTAGTTACTGTTGAATATCGTTAACCTGCTGTTGGATGGCAGCTAAGGTTGCATCCTCTACTATGGTTTGAGTTTTCTTCTGTTTTTCCAGTTTTCTTGATAGACAGGTGCTAGGCTCTAATTACCAATTGTCACGTTTTAGGGGTGAATTTGTTAGGGTTTTGCAGAAATTGATATGATTATAGAATAGAAAAGGATTGTAGAAAAGGAATTCCCATTTCATTCATGATAGATAATCCAAATGGACTGGGTACAATGTGTATTAATAGTATCACAACTGTCCTTATCGTACTACATATCTACAACTTTAAAAGATAATTTGTTGACGCATGCAGGATTCATTTCATAGGGAAAGCTACTGGACCTGGGCTGGCATGTATTAAAGCCCACTTCTCCTTCAAGGTGTTCACCATGGCCCCTTGGCTTGTCTCCAGTTGTTAGGCCTCTCCACTGTTAGCTTGTTTCAACCCGGATCCCTCTGTTGGAATAAGACCCATTGACCACCCCTTCTCTTAATTTCCAATTTACCCGTGTATCTCAATCTTTAAATTCTCCCAAATCCCTAATTGCCTCTTCTCGAGCGCTAATTCTACATCCATCGTTACACTGCATTACATGTCCATTTTATTTGACAACATTCAACTTTAGAGGACTAATTTGTATAATGTTTTCCAACGTTAGAGGCTAATTTCGACCTCAAACAGTTTAGGATCAATTTGACAAAAATAATCAAATCTCGGAACTAGTTTATGTATCTATTTTCATAGTATATAAAATCACGAGTTTGCTTTTTTTAATCAATAGAAATATCTTTTATATTGTATTATATTATTAAATTTATATCGAAAAAAATAATATTTTAATATATTACTAATTATTATATAACTATATAACTTGGGTTGCACATAATTCGGATTTCAATCCGATCCGGATCGGTTTTTATCCGATTCGGTTTTTTCCCATAGAAAAAAAATCGGTTTATAAAATAACCGGTTCGGTTTCTAACCGGTTTGGAGGGTCGGATATCCTAACCGGTGTAATCGGTTTTGGTTTAAAAAAAACCGGTTTTTTTAAAAAACCGATTTTAATATTCCAGATTGCTCATAGGGAACCGATTCCCCCCAAGGGGGTACCAATTCCTCACTGAATGGTTTGGCTCCGAGATTTCCAGAATGCTCGGAGGGAACCGATTCCCCCATAGGGGTACCGATTCCCCCCTATTCAACGGTCGAAATATTTGAATTTTACACTTAGGGAACCGATTCCCTATGAGAGGAAACCGATTCCCTATGAGAGGGTACCGATTCCCCCACGCTCTAAGCATTTTTATTAAATGTTTTCACACTTAAACGGCTATATTATCTTCATTAATTATCACTAACGTTCAGAAGTGATTCAAGGTGTATTTAAGCAAGCTTAGAAGTCATTGATCAAAGACAAGAAACATCAAGCAACTATAATCAAGAGAGAATCAAAGAGAAAGCATCAAACCTCAAGTTCGATAAATTCAAATACTTAATTGAAATACTTAATTAACTCAACATAATTGAAATACTTAAATACTTCCAAGTTTGATAAATTCAAATACTTAAAAACTTCCAAGTTCGATAAATTCAAATACTTAAAAACTTCAAGTTCGATAATTGAAACAAAGTTTACGATAATTGAAATAAAGTTATAAATAAACATTGCCATCTCTTCTTCATCATCTTCGCCTTCTTCGTTTGGAGGGGATATTCCAAGTTCGACTTCTTCATGTGTAAGTTTGCTTCCAAATCGGCATCAATTGCATCTTCTAGGGTGGTGATATGTTTCTTACGAGCCGCTCCATCCAAATAATCCTTTAAACAAATGCATACTTCCACCGACTCGGGACTTAGTCTTGATCTCCGTTGTGATAACCCTGCCACTAACAGAAAAAGCGGATTCCGAAGCTACCGTAGAAGCTTGGACGGTTAGTAAATCACGGGCCATGGCGGCTAGAATCGGAAATTGTGCTTCCTTTTCTTTCCACCAAGCCAAAATATCCAAACTTTCAAACTCTTCAAATGTCATTTTTGATAGAAAATATGACATGTAATTTCCCAACTCGCTTGGGTGGTAGTACGTGATCGTTTGGATTGGGAATTTACAAGAGTGTTAAAAAGATTCAAATTTATGTTACTTGGACGTCTACTAGATGATTCCGCATTCATTCTCATTTGATCGTGTATTACACTACTTGATCCGTATTAGTTAAATAAATTGCAAACATGTCTCGAAAACATTTGTTAAAAAATTTTTGGTTTTGGACAAGTTGGGTTCATCATCGGTTAGATTAAAAGCAAACGCAATTGTTCAATTAGTGTTTCAACCCCACCAACATTTAACGTTGGGTTTAAGCGGCGGCACAAGTAAAAATGGGGGGAATCTCCTTAAATATTTTAAAAGTTTTTCCTTCATTGCAAAGCCAATTTCTTGAAAAACTTCGGTTTCAAATTCAAAGTCATTAGTCGGGTAGCCAACAAAAATTTTGATTAAGAACCAACGGGCTAGTAGGTAATAAACACCGGATAAAAAAGTTGTTGCATTTTTAAAAACCTCAAGCAAATCGGTTATTTGGCTATAGTTTCCCAACTCGAATCCGGATAAATGTTTGGGACATGACCCCTCTCGAAAAGCCGATCGTGAAATGTTTGCAATGTTTCCCTTTGCCTTAAGGCAGTATGCATCATCATCCAAGTTGAGTTCCAACGAGTTGGACAATCCAAATTAGGACCCAAAGCTTTTTATTAACAGACTTACAAAATCGTTTATAATCATTTAGTCTTTTGTTTTGTTACAAAGAATCGATTTTATCATTGTTTAAATTCTAATCTAATTGGCTCAATAACCTCCAAACCGGCTTGCACGGATAAATTAATTATATGTGCAACGCAACGGGTATGAAAAACGCACCGTCTAAAATCGATGAAAGTAATATTTCAATCTTGGAACCGCGTTTGTATTATTCGATGCATTATCAAAGGATATAGAAAAAACTTTATTTTCTAATTTATAAAGACAAATTACCCGTTTAAAGTGTAAATAAATTAGCACCGATATGCGGCTCACCGAATAATTCAAACGCGATTGTTCTTTTCATCATTTGCCAATTATCTTGATCTAACCAATGTGACGTAACGGCTAAAAAAGAATTTCCGGTATTATGAGGGGAACTCCAAACGTCACATGTAAGCGACACACCATAACGGTGTTCTTGGAATCCTAAAATCATTTTTTCCCTCGCCTACGCCACATTTTATAGCATCTCTTCTAAGGGTAGTACGACTTACTTGAGTATAACGTGGTTGCATTAGTTGTTGAATTGTTGTCGTGAAATCTTCATCATCAAGTGGTCGAACGGCAATGCTTTTGTAATCACGAACTTTGTAAACGTTTCGTAATTTTTCGTTGTCGTAAACAAAACACCACCTTGCGGTGTAAGATTCGATTGACTAGGATCCGATCTTGAGCGAAGTGCCTTGCATGATTGTCAAATGGTTCTTCAACGTTGTTTCCTTCCGATGAAACTTTAGACAAGTTTACAACGCGCCCTCTTCGAGCCATTGACATCTCACATAAATCGTAGTGATCCCAAATATCTTGTTTCGAGGTGTTCGATCACTCTCACGACTTCAAGGTTTCCCCGACGGAAGATTCAGCAGTGTTACTCATGATGACAAAAAATTACAAAACTAAGATTTGAGAGATGTTTAAGTGTTGTGTAATAAGATTGAGAAATTTTTTAAAGAAAAAACGGTCAAAAACGGTCACAAACGGCTATATTAACGGCTAGTTTTTTAAACCCAGACCGGTTTTTTTCGGATAAAAACCGGTTTTTTAACCGGTTTTTTTCAAACCGGTTTTTTATCCGGTAAAAAAACCGGTCTGGGTTTTTTTTTCCAAACCGGTTAAAATAACCGGTTTAAAAAAATCCGATCCGGTTAAAAAAAACCGGTTTTTCCCAAATCCGGTTTCGGATATTTTTTTCGCAAAATCGGATATTCGGATTTTTTGTGCACCACTATATATAAGTAATGTTACTTAAAAATAATTTAATTGGATAAAGTCATAGCTATAATGAATAGACTTTGTATTTATATAAATTACACCTATAATTCTGGATTGATTTTCTTTATTTAATATTATAATTTTATTCCAATTAAAATTAAGAGTTTTTTAACACTCTGAATAAATATAATAACATTAAATAATTAAGTATTTTTTTTCAAATACCATCTAAGAAAAAAATACTGGAGCAATAAATTTAAATATAATTTTATAGGTGTTAATTCCATCACAAAATATTAGATCTTTATTATCTTTCAACATGTTTAAATTTTTTTGTTTAATGTTTAGTACTTACTATTATTATTTGATGTCTAATAACACTTTACAGAATTATGAATTTTTTTATCGTGGTTTCAAGTTTGTTTCGTGTACTTGCTTTTTTTTTTCCTTCAAAAATATTTTTGTAAGTATTAAAGATATTTTACTTTATAAATTTTAGGTAATTAAAATTCATGTTGCGGTATTTAATATTAAAAAATAGATGGCCACAAAATAAAATAGGGTAAACTATGCCAACAGTCCCCTTTATTTAATGTCTGATCGACTTTGGTCACTGATTTTTTAATTAAGTGTGTTTGATCCCTAGCGTTATAAGTCCATCAGATTTAAATCTCTCATCCGTTAATGTTTGTTAACCCATCAAAGGAAGTTTTACGTGTAAGCTAAATTAAAAAAAAAACTCACGTGCATCTACGTTCTTCTTCTTCTTCTTTTGATATTTTGCTCACTTGTTTCCCATTTCTCCTTCCATTAACTCCTTCATTGTCTAGGATCTGGTTAAAAAGAAAGTTCTTGCAGATTGAATATGTTTAAAACATGAACATATTTATGTAACCACCTTTGAATCCTTTGATCTAACAGCATATATAACATGCCAATGTTACAATCAAAGAATAATTTTTTTCTTTAAAAATATAGCTATGAATTGGATCTCACCCTAGATACCCGAGGGTATTTTAGAAAGGCTAGAGGCGTGTGTGCTTTAAGATGCAGAACCCTCAGTCACACCATAATGCCTACCTTAGTATGTCATGTCAGTATCCCCATGTCTTCATACATATGTCATTAGCATGCTCATTTAGTGAATTCATGTAGTACAATACAATTACTAGTGTGGTACTGAGCTTGAAAGCTTAGTGTTTGGAATATGTTTCCGTCTGTAGGTTCTTAGGAGATCTCCGTTGAGCATTATCATCACCAGATATTCCAGTTCAGCCGAGGCTTAAGAGCATGTCTTGATATTAGAGTGCATGTATTATGGCAAACCCTTTTTGTATTCATATGTAACTCTATTTTTATATTAAACTCAATATTGTTATTATTTTGGATATTTGAGAGGTCCCCCATATTTTTAAACTCATATTTATTATGTTTTATTCATATCACTATGAATGGTTATTTTTTAATGTTTGAAACCATTTTAAAAAGAATATTTTTAGGTTAGCCATTTTGGTGGTCCCGTGTAACACTTTAATCCCTCGGTCTTTGGGTCGAATTAGATT